TTCTCTTCTCAAATGTTAAGGCCAGCCCTGACCAGTTTGACTCAGTGGTTAGAGTGTTGGCCTGCAGACCAAAGAGTACCAGTTTCGATTCCAGCCAAGGGCACATACCTTGGTTTTGGTTTGTTCCCAATTGATGTGTCTCTCTCACATCGACGTTTCTCTCTCCCTTCCACTCTGTCTGAAGATAAATGTAAAAATATCCTCAGGCGAGGATTTAAAAAATAATAATAAAATAAAATGAAGGCCAGAGCTCTGCATGAATATTTATTTGCTTTATTGATTTATCCCAGGCCCCTAACCCATAACAGGGGCTCAATAAATATTTGTTTACGGTCAAGATGGCAGGTAGGTAAACGCGGTATCACCTCCTCCCACAACTACATTGAAATTACAACTAAACTGCAGAACAACCATCATTCAGAACCGCCTGACATCGAGCTGAATGGAAGTCCTACAACTATGAAATTAAAGAAGAAGCCACATCGAGACTGGTAGAGGGGCAGAAGTGCAGACTGGCTGGCCCCACACCCACATGTGGCGGATAAAGTCAGGAGGGTATCTCGGCAGGGATGAACCTCGAGGGCCCAGCTGGGGTGATCAGGGAGGCTGTGCCACTGAGTCCTACAGGACACCAACAACAATAGGCCACCCTACAAAGTCTAGGCAACATAGCAACTCTACCTAATACATAGAAACAAACATAGCCCTGGTTGGTTTGGCTCAGCAGTTAGAGCGCCGACCTGCGATCCAGAGAGACCAGGGTTCGGTTACTGCTAAGGGCAGTTGCAGTTTGTCCCCGGCCCTGGTTGGTCGTGCGGGTGGCAGCCACTCGATGTGTCCCTTTCACGTTGATGTTTCTCTCTCTCTCTCTCTCTTCCTCTCTCTCCCTCTCGCTCTGTCTGAATAAAGAATGGAAAAAAGTCTTCTGGTAAGGATAAAAAGAAAAGAAACAAACATAGGGTTCATCATCAAAATGCCAACGGTTAAGAACAAAGAGAAAACTTTTTTATCCTCACCGGAGGACATTTTTTCCATTTTTTGTTCAGATAGAGTGGGAGGGAGGGAGAGGAAGAGAGAGAGAGAGAAAGAGAGAAACTGAGGTATGCGCCCTTAGCGGGAACCGAACCCGGGTCTCTGGACCACAGCCAACGCTTTAACCGCTGAGCCAAACCAGCCAGGGCCAAAGAGAAAATCTTAAAAGCAGCAAGAGAGCCCTGGCTGGTTTGGCTCAGCGGTTGGAGCATTGGCCTGCGGACCAGAGAGCCCCGGGTTCAGTTCCCGCTAGGGGCACGTACCCACCTCCACCCCCACCCCCCAAAAAAGCAGCAAGAGAAGAGCAGTTCATTACATAAAAAGGAGCTCCCATAAGACTGTCAGCTGATTTCTCTAAAGAAACTTTGCAGGCCAGAAAGGAGAGGCAAGAGCTATTCAAAGTAATAAAAAGCAACAACCTACAACCAAGATTATTCTATCCTGCTAAACTATCATTTAGAATTGATGGCCATATAAAGAGTTTCCCAGACAAGAAAAGCTGAAGGACTTCACCACCACCAAATCAGTATTATATGAAATGTTGAAGGGTCTTCTTGAAGGAGATGAACAAACATATGAACAATAAAATGGCAATAAATACATATTTACCACAGTTGAATCTACAAACAAAATGAGCAAGCAGAACAGAAACAGACTCATAGATAAAGAGAACTTTTTGTTGCTTGCCAAATAGGAGGGGGCTGGGGGGGGGGTGAAAAAGATGAAGGAATTAAGAAGAACAAATTAGTTGTTAGACTGATGAACCTCAAAGGGAAGGGGGAAGGGAGGGCAGGGAGAGATAAACCAAAGAACTTCTATGCATATATGCATAACCAATGGACAGAAACAATAGTGTGGGGAAGGCAAGAGGAGTGCGGGATTGGGGAGGAGGGGGTCAATGGGGGAGGAAAGGGGGGACATTTATAATACATTCAACAATAAAGATGTTTTAAAAATAATATTTGTTTTATTTTTATTTATTTATTTATTTTTTTAATCCTCATCCGAGGACATTTTTCCATTTTTTGTACAGACAGAGTGGGAGGGAGAGAGAGGAAGAGAGAGAGAGAGGGAAACATCAATGTGAAAGGGACACATCGAGTGGCTGCCACCCGCATGACCAACCAGGGCCGGGGACAAACTGCAACCGAGGTACATGCCCTTAGCGGGAACCGAACCCGGGCCTCTCCGGACCGCAGGTGGACGCTCTAACCGCTGAGCCAAACCGGCCAGGGCAAATAATATTTGTTTTAAAATGACCAAAATATTGGGCCAAAATATCTCTATGACTTAGCCTCAGAAGTCACACACCATCATTTCTGTATTACCCTCTTGGATCAGGTCGGCCTTCTGTAGTGTGGAGAGAGGCTACACAATGTTATGAATACCAGGAGGTGGAAATCATTGAAGACAATTTTGGAAGCTGGCTATTATAGCCTGGAGGCTGCCGTGATACAAGGAAGCCCAAACTAGCCCCTTCAGAGAGACTACATGGCTACATGGACAGATCATGAGACTATAAGAAGAGAGAGAGAGAGCTGCTAGGTTATCCCTCAGCTGCTTTAGCCTCTCACTGTTCCAGCATTAGCCATCATCTGACTGCAATTATGTGAGCCAGAAGTGCCAGCCAAAATTCTCTCCCCAAATTCCTAGCCCCTAAAAACTGTAAGAGAAAATAAAATAATAATAATTATTATTATTTTAAATCCTCACCCAAGGATATTTTTCCATTTATTTTCAGACAGAGTGGGAGGGGGGGAGAGAGAGAGAGAGAGAGAAACATCGATGTGAAAAAGACTTATCGATTGGTTGTTTCCCGCATGACCCCGACCAGGCCTGGCGACTGAAATGCAACCATGGTATGTGCCCTTGATCCCTTGACTGGAATCGAACCCGCGACTTTTTGGTGTGCGGGCTGACGCTCTAACTGCTAAGCCAAACCGGCCAGGGCAGTAAAATTATTATTATTTCTTTACACCATTATTTTTGTGGTGACTTGTTGAACAGCAATAAGTCCTATATGACTCCCACCTCCTAGTATTCATACCACTCTGTAGTCTCTTCTCATACTGAGTAGAGCTGACCTGTCCCAATAAGATAAGGTAGAAATGACAGTGTGTGACTTTTGAGGCTAAGTAATAAGATATTGTGGTTTCCATCTTACTCCCTGCTAGAGCTCTTATTCCAGGGGAAGCCAGCCAGAAATAACAGTACTCCAGGAAAACTATGGAAAGAGGTCAGGCCTAAGTCCTAGTCCTCTATGCTAGTTTCCTTTTGTTGTTATAATAAATTACCACAAACCTAGTGGCTTAAAACTGCATGAACTCATTATCTTACAGTTCTACAGTTCAGAAATCTGACAGGGGTCTCACTGGGCTAAACCCAAGATGTCAATAGTTCCTTTCTGGAGAATCTAGGGGACAATTTATTTCTGTGCCCTTTCCTGCTTCTAGATGCCGTCCACATTCCCGAGCTCATGACCCCCTTTCCTTCATCTTCAAAGCCAGCAACATTGCATCTCTCTGTGCCTTACTTCTGTAGTTACACCTCCCTCTGACTCTTGTTCTGCATCCCTTGTCCACTTTAAAGAACCCTTGTGATTACATTGGACCCATAGGATAATCTCTGTTTTAAAATCAGCACATTAGTGACCTTAATTCCACCTGTAACCTTAATTCCCATTTGCCATGTAACCTAACATATTCACAGGTCCCAGGTATTAGGACATGGACGTTTGTGGTGGTCGTTACTCTGCCAACTATGCTGTCTGGAAGAGGAGTGGACCTGAGAAGGAGCAGCTGGAGGTGGGCCAGCAAGAGAGTGATGTATCATAGAAGCCAAAGGAAAAGAGAGTTCCCAGGAAGGAGAACACTACAGTGACTAATACTGTTGGGAAGTCAAGCCTGATAAGAACTGAAAAATATCCGTTGAACTTAGTGTCCTGATGACACCAGCCATTATTTGGGGTAGTTTTGGGGGCAGGAGCTAGTTTATGGTGTCCTGGGCAGCAAGGAAGGTGAATACATAGAGACTGAGAGTGTAAGACCTTCCCAAAAATTTGATTGTAAAGGGAATTTGTTGCTGTTTCTAAAATAAAAGAGAGAAGCAAATTTCAATGCAGATGAGAAGGAAGGAGAGGTATAGGAGAGATGGGTCATCAATAAATGCGATGTCTGTGAAGGGGAGAGTTCAGCTAGCCCACCCAAAGCTTAGAAAGGAGGGACTGTTGGACTGAGCAAGGCTCAGGTTTTGCCAGGCAGGTGCCACAATAGAACAGAGGTTAGGATACCGTGGAGGATGTGGCTGAGGTGCTAGAGCAGGGAAATTAAGGGGGGGGGGGGGGGGGGGAGAGAGAGACCAGCAGGAGGAGCTAGTGAAGCAGGAGGGGATTGCTGAGCCAACTAAGGATATTGTCTTAATGGTATTTGAAATAATTTCAGGGAAAATGCTTGGTTCTTTTTTTTTTCTTCTAATTTTTTTTTCTTTATTGATTTTAGAGAGAGCGGAAGGGAGAGGGAGGGCGATAGAAACATTGATGAGAGAGAACATCGATTTGCCGCCTCCTGCTTGCCCCGCACTGGGGATTTGGCCCACAACCTGGGCATGGGCCCTGACTGGGAAACCGGCTACCTCTTGGTGCATGGATCCACGCTCAACCAGTGAGCCACACCGGCCAGGCTAAACTCTTGGTTCTTGATCTGATAGCAGTACTCGCTGGATTTCCTGATCCGCTAGTCTCTAGGTCCTGGATGTTCCAATGTTTACAGCAGAGCTTGGCATACACTAAACGCTATATATTGTTAGCTATGATTAATATACGTATGTAATTTTGTAAACTCTGGAGACTACATTTCCCTTCAGGCATTGCGGCCACTTGGACTACAACACCCATAATGTCTGTCAGTCCAGCAATCACCCACGACCTTTAATCTGGTTTTCCAGTCCCAGCATCCCTTGCTGTTTTCCTACCTCGCCAGAAAGCCTATCCAGTGGACCTAGGAAACCCTCGCCCAGAGGAACGGGAGGGGGCGGGGCCACATCTTGCCCCGCCCCTGCTCCGTGGCTGTTTGTTTCCGCTGGCGCCTCCGCGGAACACCGAGATATGGGCCCTACCTGGGGGAGCCCTGGATGGGTGCGGCTGGCGCTCTGCCTTGCCGGCTTAGTGCTCTCTCTCTACGCGCTGCACGTGAAGGTGGAGCGCGCCCGGGACCAGAATTACCGCGCGCTCTGCGATGTGGGTACCGCCATCAGCTGTTCGCGCGTCTTCTCCTCCAGGTGCGCGTGGGAGTGAAAGGCTTGGGCACCGGGCAGCTCGTGGGAGCGGTGCATAGGGGCCAGATGTGCATGGCAGCCAGATTGCTAGATGGTTCTGGAGTCTGGGATCAGAGTGCCAGGAAGCGTGCATGGGGCCGGGCTGCTTCTGGGGGGCACTGCCCAGTGAATCGGGTGTCCGAGATAGGAACACGGGCGGGATGGGGGTGCAGATAGTTCTGGAAACTGTGGTTATTCGGGGGAGTAGTACGTGGGTCTGGATTCCAAGGAATAACGGTGACCAGGCAGTAGGGGGAGGTGGTGTAAGGTATAGGGACCGATGATGGTCTTGAGGATGGATGTGCCTGGGGATAAGGTGGGCAGGTCTGGCTATGCTTGAGAGCCTGAGGTTAGTAGGGTGACCGAATACAGAGGAGGGATATAGACGGCCAGGGAGCTTGAGAATTAGGGGTCCAGGCCAGAGATTCTGCCCTGGATTCCCAGTCTCTGGTAACTCTGTAAAGCAAGGTCAACTGTTATTTCCCACTATGCCATCTTAAGAATTATTGAGGGTCTAGAATTAAAAGAGTGGCCTACGAGGAAACCATGGCCAGGCCTGGCCTGGAAACGGGGGAAAATAGGAGCAAACACTGACGTGGCCAAAGGGAAGCTTCCCCCGGAGGTCATCAACCCTTGGCCTCAAGCTGGGTTGGGAGAATGGGGACAAAGGGAAGGAGGACAGCCCAGGTGGCTGCTTGGAAATCACCCCTCCAGGACAGGGCACGAGGCACTGGGTTGACACTCCTTATCTGGGCCTTCTCTTCCACCAGGTGGGGCCGGGGCTTCGGGCTGGTGGAACAAGTGCTGGGCCAGGACAGCGTCTTCAATCAATCCAACAGCATATTTGGCTGCATCTTCTACACGCTACAGCTGTTGTTAGGTAACCAACTGGCTCTGCCCCTTCTTTGCAGGCCCCACCCCCTTCATGACAGCCCTTCCTTGCCAGCCTGTCCCTTGCAGTCTTGGGGACTCATACAGCTGACAGGCAGCTGCCCATCACTGAGCATCCTAGGGTCTGAACTAACAGGAGCCTTTCAGTTGGTCTGGGAAGTGTCAGAGCCAGGACCCTTAACCACTTCCTAGGGCACCAGTGTTGTGGGAAAGACTCAGAAGTTCTTTTCTGGGGTGAATCTAAGGATTATTTGAAATTTCAGCAGGAAAATTCACTATGTATGTCCTAGGGGTCATTGAAGAGATAAGAAAACCAAGGTTATGGTGGGGCCTGTCAGATCCTCTTATTTTACAGACTCTTCCCCAGCAGCCCCTGCTGTCTGGATGGCACCATGAAATCATGGTAATGTTCTAGAGTTTGGCCTGTCCCTGAAGCCCATGTTTGACCCTTTTCTTCCTTGTAGGTTGCCTCCGGGGCCGCTGGGTATCTATTCTGCTGCAGCTGAGTTCCCTGGTGTCTCTCGCTGGTTCTGTCTACCTGGCCTGGATCCTGTTCTTCGTGCTCTATGATTTCTGTATCGTTTGCATCACTACCTACGCCATCAATGTGGGCCTGATGGTGCTCAGCTTCCGAGAGGTCCAGGGACCCCAGGGCAAGGTCAAAGGGCACTGAGCCCTCACCTCAAGCCCGGGTGACCTCTTATGCTCTGCTTTGGCATGTCAGTCTTGCCTAAGGGGGACATGTCTGGGTCTTTAGAAGAGTCTACACCCACCTCCACCATACTCTCAACACAGGACAATGGACCAAATGTGCCACCCTCTTTCTTCCACCTAGTATCTCTGGCTCTGTCCCCAAGGATTGGTTTCCAAAGATCCTGCCATTGCCCAAAGAGGGAAGGTTCTGAGCAATAAAATTTCTTAAATTGGTTAAGTCTGAGCCACCTGTCTGCCAGGGACCCTAAGTCTTGCCTCCTCTGGGACTGGAAGGATATGAGTTGGAGGGAGAGTGGACGATCTGTCTGGGAAGGATGTTTAGTTCCTTCTGTAGCACGTGGAGTCAGCAAGACCTGGGCACCACCAGCCTCCAGCCCCAGAAAATAGGCTGGCAGTCTGTCCATGCTGCCCACAGTAGCCAGGCCTCCTGAGGGCCAAGTACACATTTGCAAGGGCAAGATGCCCTTCTGGTTCTACATGTGCTTGCTTGAAAGTTCTTATAGTGTGACCTTAACCCTTCTGGCTGCCTCACCTACATCCCAAGACAGTCTCAGCCGCCCTGAAGGGCCAGGGACAGGTTGGGTTTTTGATTTGTTTATCCTAATACTTACTGAGTACTTACCTGCATGCCAAGCACTGTTTAAGAACATGACATGTGTTAACTCATTTAATCCTTATAGCAATTGTATGAGGTACTATTATTATCCCTATCTTGATGAGGAAACTGAGGTACAGTAATTTGTCTAAGATCACACAGCTAGTGCCTGGAAGGGGGTCAGGGAGCCCTCCAGATTTTAATCCACCAAGGCCATCTGATTCCAGTATTTGTGTTCTTAACCCTAGCCACAGCTGCCTTTGTGTTGGGGTCAGGGTTCCTGAACAGTCTGGGCTGGCCTGAATTAGAAGTCAGGAAGAGAAAAAGAATGCACCCTGAATGTTCTTCCCTCCTGATTGAGACTTCCAACACCCGCGAGAAAGGTGGGCACCACTGTAACCCTGTCTGTCAGAAAGGTGGCAGACCCAGAGAGGTGTTGAGATTTCCCAGTCTTGTGGCTAGCAAGTAACAGAGCCCTGGCCCCTTGACTGCCAGCCCTGAACACACTATGCATGAAGCAAGAGGGGAGAAGGTATGTGACATCCACCTGGACCTGGGCCTGGGCGAACGGTGTGGGAGCTGAGAGGGAAATGAGAACTGGGAGGGCCTGCCCTGTGCCCCTCGCAGTTACAAGAGGATGGCTTCCGTGCTGGGAGCAGGTTTCCTCTGCCAGGCTCTAGCCTTAAGTGTCCTTATGTTAAAAAATTCTGAGTTTTTCAGGCAAGGTACAAGCAGGCTAACTGCTCAAGGGTCTTCAAGTAGTAGTTGGAACTGACATTTGAACCCAGGCAGTCTGGCCATGGCTGAGGCCCAGAATGGGGTGGTGAATAGCCCAAGGTCACACAGCCACAGCCCCAAAACTAGGAGCCACTGGCTTCCTTCCAGCCCAGGAGAAGCAATGGTACCTGACTCCTAGCTAACTGGGGGTGGAGCAGAGGTGGAGCTAGGGAGACCCAGGTGGCCTCTCTGAGAATCACAGCACAGGCGGCAGAGTAGCCTGGAGCAGCATGAAGCAGAGCTGGGGACCAGGGCTGCTTATCCTGGGAGCTGTGGTCCTCACAGAAGGTGAGCCACCTGTATTTGAGTGGGAAGGGAGTGGGATGGTGGGGGTTCAGGGGCCACTCTCTGCCTCAGTATCGCCTGCAGTTTGTGTGTAAGGAAGACTGCCTGTGGGGTGACAGTCTGCCTGTAGTGATATAACCGTGTCTGGCTGTGTGGGGGGAGGTATGTGGCTGCCTGTGTCAAAATGGGTCCGGTTTTCTTGGGCTGGATTACAGTCTATGCCTGCGGGAACTGTCATAGTGCCTGTGTGTGTACCCTGTGCCTGTCTGCCTCTCTACTTCCAAGAAGACCTTAGGCAAGTTCTGGGACCCCTTAGCCTCAGTCTCCCAGTCTTCACTCTTGTCCCACCTCTCCTGGCTCAGATGTTCAATGGGTGTGTTTGTGTGCACCTACTATGGGGAAGAGGCAGGGCAGGGGACTCTTTGGTTAAGTCTGGCAGTTTCTGGAAAAGTTGGGGAGTCTTGTGTCCTCAAAATGGGCGGGGTGAATCTCAACCTCTTAGAGCCCTCCCTCACTTGGACATGACGCCAGCCTCCAATCCTTGCTCCTAGGCCTCCATGGCTGAGGGCACAATTAAGCTAATGCTCTCCACATACAGAGGCTGCCTCCTGACTCAGTGGCGGGGGCAGGAGGTGGGGGTTCTGAAGCGTGGAGGGTTGGCCTGCTCCCAAACTGAACCCCAGGCCCTGCTCCTCAGGCCCTAGAGTGCTGCGCACAGCTGAGGGAGGAGAATTAATTACTGAGAATACGCTCTGAATAGGTTCCAATAAAAGCTGTTTCTGGACCTCATATAAATATTTTCATTCTGGGAGGGACTGGTGAGGTAGTCAGAGAGTCATAGTCAAGGGCCCAAGGCTTATCCCCCAACCCATCCCCTCCACCAAAGCTGGGCCAGGCAGGTAAGGCTCCCCTAAGTCTCATCTGTGTTTCTCTCTTCAGGTCTTCAAGCAGCTCAGCGAGGTAAGCTCTGGGGACATGGGGCCTGGGCCTTACTTGGGTCTGGGTTGGACCCTGGGTGAGGACAGGATAGGGGCCTGCTGTCAGCCTGACCTACCCTTCTCTACAGCCTGTGGGCAGCGTGGCCCTGGCCCCCCTGAACCTCAAGAGGGCAACACAGGGCCCGGCGAGTGGCCGTGGCAGGCCAGTGTGAGAAGGCAGGGGGTCCACATCTGCAGTGGCTCCCTGGTGGCGGACACCTGGGTCCTCACCGCTGCCCACTGCTTTGAAAAGTGAGTTGTGCTGGGGTCTGACAGGGTTTCTGACTTTAGGGTGGGTGATTTGTCCCCAAACTCCACAAGACTGATCCCTGCCCCTAGAATAACACAGGGCTGTTTACTGAGGCTATGCTATGTGCCAGGTACTTATTAAGTTACTCTTAACCTTCATGGTAGGAGTCTTACACACAAGAAACAGGCTGGAGAAGGAAGGACCTTGCTTAAAGCCATAGGCTGATATTTTGTCCATTTTTCACCTACCTGTTCTGTCTTCCATGGTGTCACTGTTCCCCTTTGCACTCCACACCTGGGTTTTGTCCCTCTCCTTCCAGAGCGGCAGTGACTGAACTACACTCCTGGTCAGTTGTTCTGGGCTCTCTACAGCGTGAGGGGCTGAGCCCAGGGGCTGAGGAGGTGGGGGTGACTGCTCTGCAGCTTCCCAGGGCCTACAACCACTACAGCCAGGGCTCAGACCTGGCCCTGCTACGGCTCGCCCACCCCATGGCCCACACACCCCTCTGCTTGCCCCAACCTGCCCATCGCTTCTCTTTTGGGACCTCTTGCTGGGCTACTGGCTGGGATCAGGACACCAATGATGGTAAGTGCTGTCCCAGGCTGAAGCCCAAAGAGGCATTCCACTTGCCAAGGTCACACAGCCTCAGCTGCCAACTGTCTCAGCTTCTAGTCTCCCTTGCTCCCCAGAGACCAGACTCTGGCCCCAACCCCATCTTTTGCCAGCTCCCAGGACCCTACGGAATCTGCGCCTGCGTCTCATCAGCCGCCCCACGTGTAACTGTCTCTACAACAGGCTGCACCAGCGGCTGCTGGCCAGCCCGGCCAGGCCTGGGATGCTGTGTGGGGGTGCCCAGCCTGGAGTGCAGGGGCCCTGTCAGGTCTGAAGGGGAGGAGATGGGGAGGGAGAAGAAGGGGAGGGGGCCTGGCTTTGGGCTGGGTACTTGATCCACAGGGATGGGTGGAAGGGCTGCCCAGGGCTGGGCTCAGGTGCTTGTCCTTCACTCCAATGCCCACTCCAGGGAGATTCCGGGGGTCCTGTGCTGTGTCACGAGCCCGATGGACACTGGGTTCAGGCTGGCATCATCAGCTTCACATCAAGTTGTGCCCAGGAAGACACTCCTGTGCTGCTGACCGACATGGCTGCTCACAGCTCCTGGCTGCAGGCTCGAGCTTGGGGGGCAACCTTTCTGGCCCAGAACCCAGAGACCCTGCAGATCAGTGATGAGGACAGCTGTGTAGGTATGAGCAGAGGCTGTTATGAGTGTGTATGAGGGGACACCCAGGCCTGCATGACTTCTGGGCATCAGGTGGAAGCTACAGTGAAATAAATGTCAGCTTGGAAGAGAGAATTGGTACAGGACTCCACAAACTGCCATATGCTAACTGGGGAGCTTTTAAGGCCCTTTTGAACCCCTAGGATGAGAACAGCTCTATTTAGGGCTGAGAGGAATAGATGTTTCAGAACTTTATGGGTTTGGAGTTTAGGTAAGAAGAGGGATCTCTGTGATCTAGCTGAAGGTTTTGGGGTTAGCTGCAAGTTTCCAAGCAGGGACCTAGTGAGACTGGACAGGGCAGAATTCCAGTGTAAAGTGATTAACATGCAAATTACATGTAAAATAATTCCTGGGACAGAAGCTATGTCTTGATGGTAAGACAAGCACTAGTGAGCCACGAATTCTGGAGCTAATCCAAGCCTGGAGGGGTACAGACAGGTGGGGTGGAGGAATGGTGAGCAGGCCACTCCCTCGAGGCTGAATCAGCAGTTAAAAGCTTAGGCCCTAGCTTTTGAATATCAAATCTGCTACTTACCTGTAGTTACTGAGCTAGAAAGTCACTTACCCTCTCTGGGACTTTAGTTACAAGGGTAACAAAATTCAACTTAAAGGCGGTTACGAGGATGTGATAGTACATGGGAAGTGCTTAGCACAGGGTCCGGCATGCAATTAGCATTTGGCAAGGCAGATGGTATAATCCATCTGTTTCAGCCTGTGGATCCTTGAGGAGAGATGGTCCCCAGGCAGAAGGCCCCTCCCCATGGCCCTGGGATGCCAGGCTGAAGCACCGGGGCAAGCTGGCCTGTGGCGGAGCCCTGGTGTCAGAGGAGGTAGTGCTGACTGCTGCCCACTGCTTCATTGGGTGAGCCCTGTCTCCTTTGCCTTTGTGCCCCCATCCCTGCTGACAGCCCTGCCACCCAATGCTGTCAGTGCTGTCTCTGCACAGGCGTCAGAGCCCAGAGGAATGGAGCGTAAAGCTGGGGGCAGGACCAGAGGAGCACAGCCTAAAGCAACTCATCTTGCATGGAGCTTACACCCACCCAGAGGGGGGCTACGATGTGGCCCTCCTGCTGCTGGCCCAGCCTGTGACATTAGGCCCTAGCCTGCGGCCCCTCTGCCTGCCCTACACTGACCACCATCTACCTGATGGGGAACATGGCTGGGTCTTGGGACTGGCCTACCAAGGAGCAGGTATGTAGGACAGGGCCCCCAGCAGCTGTCCATCTAGCCTAGAGGCCACTAGGGCAGCCTGCTCTTCTAACCCCCCGTCACCACAGGCACCAGCTCCTCTCAGACAGTGCCCGTCACCCTCCTGGGGCCCAGGGCCTGTAGCCGGCTGCATACTGCCCTTAGGAGCAATGGCATCCCCATTCTGCCAGGGATGGTGTGTACCAGTGTTGTGGGTGAGCCAGCCCACTGTGAGGTAAGCCCCAGTCCCCCAAACCTTACCCCACAGACCCCTGACATCCTCACCCTGCAGCTCACATACAACACCTGCCAGGCTTGGCCTTCAGATCTGCCTCTCCCCTGAAATTCAGCCTTTCTGCCAACTGGCACCCCAGCACCCTCTGCCCCTCACATCTGCCCAACGGTAAGAGGAAGTCACCCAGTGTCACCTGACCTCTGACAGGGCCTGTCTGGGGCACCATTGGTGCATGAGGTGAGGGGAACATGGTTCCTGGCTGGGCTACACAGCTTCGGAGATGCCTGCCAAGGCCCCGCAAAGCCTGCAGTCTTCACGGCGCTCCCCACCTATGAGAACTGGGTCAGCAGTTTGGACTGGCAAGTCTACTTCTCGGAGGAGCCTGAGCCTGAGCCTGAGCCTGAGGCTGAGACTGGAAACTGCCTGGCCAATATGAGTATGTGGCCCTGAGGCCTTCCTGCGACACTTCCCTCTCCAGACTCCTTCTCTCTGTCTAGGGAAAGATCTGTTCTGAGTCACCTCTAGATGCCCTGGGTGGGGTGGAGCAGCAGACACACCCACCTGAACTCAAATTCTGGCTCTCCGTCACTGTGCGACTTGGAGCAAGCCTCTCAACCTCTTGAACCTGTTTTCTTATACATCACGGGGGCTAAGTAGCACCTCCTTCCTCTTCCTTCCAGGAAGGGAGGAGAGTTGTGAAGATGAGGCTACCACACCCCCGTTCCTCTCCCTGACAGGCCAACCAGCCGGCTGTTGACAGGTGGCTCTGGGAAGCTGCAAACACATCACTGCCTCTGCTCCTCTCCATTCTCCCCACCCACACACGACTCCAGGCACTGGGGCAGGCCCCAAAGCCCAGTGGGCTCTGGGAAGGAGCCTGCCCAGATGAGCAGCTGCCCCGTCTCCCCACCCTGCAGGACAGGGACGTGTCAGCTGTAGATGCTCCCCACTCTCGGCTCTGCTCCCCGACGCAGGCATCCCAGCTTTCCCTGTTCTTCATCCCCTCAGATATAATCACGCCAGCCACATACTTGGAAAATTTCTTTTTTTGCGGGGGGTGGGGGGAAAGGTGGTGGTGGTGCAATTTTCCTTTTTTTTAAAACTTAAATAAATTGTTACAAAATAGACTTTAGAAAATAAGTTACAAATTGTAGCAAAAGGCCCCCCCTTCCACAGGCAACATTCCTACCACTGGCTCTTTCTGAATCTGCCTCTCCCTGGTGTTGGAATCTGGTTGGTGGGGGTTGCCCAGCATCACGGCAGTCCCTGGCACCAGGTTTCTTGCAGGATAGTCATAATGAATAGCATGAAAGGCTGAGGAAGGAGGTCCTTCAAGGACAGAGACATGAAGAACACCTCACCTCCTGCTTGGGAAAGAAGCCAGATCTGGGTCCTCTTTGCAAAGGGAGAGGAGAAGAGATGGCGATGCCCAAACTACTCCTGAGTAGAACATGGAGATCAAGACTTTCCCTGCAACCCACATTCTTGCCCTGTATTCTGATCTTTGGAGACTTGAAGTTCAGAGGGAGAAGCTGAGGTCTGCAGGCCACTGGGGTGACGGGTCCAGGAGTGGGGTCATGGGGGTAGGTGGAGGGGGCAATGACAAGCCCGCTGCTGGTGCCTTTGAGGCTCCTGGGGAGAGAGAGAGGTTACTGACTGAGGGGGCACACTCCACACAGCTTGGACTCCCCTCTCTGGCCCTGCCCATGGCCCCAGGAATCTGTATGAGAACCCCAGAATCCTAGGACTTCCAATGATTTTCCCAGACTTGGCCAACTGGCTTCTCATTCATTTCCTTGAGGTCACAAGAAATTTTTTATCCTGAAAGCCATCTCATCAGTTCTCTCAGGGGAATCTCACCCGCTATCCCCTCCTTCCCTGACAATCTTAGGACACCCACCCTCGGAGGCCACTAAATGGAATGGGTTCTGGGAGGTCTCTAGAGGCCCAGGGTTTGCTGAGGGAACAGGCTGCCCCACTCTTCCACAGCCTCATCTTCCAGCTTGGCTGGGTGGAGGAGACTCTGTGGAGATTCCCCGATGGAGGAGGGAGATAGGGGCTAATGACTGTTGTTGCTACAGCTGGGCCTGGCTTCAAAGAAACCATTATCTGTGACTCAGTCCTCCAGTTAAAGGTGTGCTGGAAGTAAGGGTGTGCAGGTGGAAAGAGTGGTTTGGTTGCATCCTAGAGGACACACAGCAGAGAAAGAAGAAAAGGGTTGAATAAAAGGACAGAAGAGACATGAGGGAATACTGGTAGGAAACAACCAAAGGTCTAGTTTCCAAGAAAAGATAAGGGGGAGAAGAGACCAGATGCAGGGAAAGAGGAACAGGGAGCTGGGAGCCAATCAGTGACCTAGTTTCTCTAGCTTCAGCACTGAAGCCACAAAGTCCAGTCTGGCGGTGCCTCCCACAACCCATTCCTCATTCCCTGGCTCCCTGCCTACTCTAGGAAAGAATAGAACCTAGGTCATCTTTTTCTCTGGAAATCATTACTGGCTGGATCAGAAGGGTTTCCACATGTAGCTGGATGGTACCCAGCTGCCTCCCCTCCCAAAACAAAGACTACTTCTCTTTGGCTCTGGCACAGCAGAGGAGCCCAAATAGCTGCTTCTGCTCCTGCCCACTCCTTACCCACCCCCACCATGCTATATATCTGACCTGCGGGGGGAAGGAGGGGGGGTGGTTCAGGTCTAGGCCACTCAAAATGCAGCATCCTCAAACTACTTTTCTCATTCCATACCCAAGCTCCTGGTCACCTCTTGGAATCCATGTGACCCTCTCCTCTTACTCCTTGCTCTCCCACAACCATAGGGCCAGATTTTGCCCTCCACTGTATGCCCACCTCCTCTGGGATCCTTCAACTCCCATTCATACCCCCATACCAGAGTTAGCCACTGTCCATTCCTCCTGGTGCTGTTGCTGGTGCTGCAGAAAGCTGATGCGGCGGCGGAAGTGGCGAGGACAATGGGGGCAGGTGAAGGGCCCCTCCTGGGGTGCATGAACCCGCCCATGGCCCTCCAGACGGGCAGCTGTCCGGAAGGCCTTGCCACAGATGCTGCAGCGATGGCGCTTGGGGTCCGTGTGGGTCCTGCCATGGTTCTTAAGGGAAAGCAGGTTGGGTAGAAGTTTGGGGCAGAGGGAGCAAGGATAGAGTCCAGTGGTGTGGGCCTTCTGGTGGTTCAGCAGGCTACCAGCATGGCGGTAGGAACGACCGCACTGGGCACAGCGGAAGGGCCGCTCCTCGTCTTCAGCCACTGTAGACTTTACTCCCTGCCTTCCATTAGTTCTCTCAGTATTCCCTCCTGGAGCCCCGAGGGGATCTGTTGGGGCCTGCTGGGCTCTCCCTTGACCATTGAGATCTACCTCATCCTCCGTCTGGGGTGGTACCTGACTGAGGCCCCTGGCATGAGTTTGCAGGTGGCTGGCTAGTTCATGTTGGGACTGAAAGGCCTTGCCACAGTCATGGCAGGCAAAGGTTTGGGCAGCTATGTGGTTGTGGCTGTGACTCTTATTGGCCACAGGATTCAAGAACTCCTTGGAGCAGAGCAGGCAATAGTGGAAGTCTGCCTTATTGGTGTGGTGGTTCAAAAGGCCTTCTGATTGGCAGTAGGTCTTACCACAATGGCAGCAGGAAAAGGGATGGCTCTCTGGCTGGAGCTGAGGGCTGCCGTCTCCATTGTCCCAACTATCCACATGATTCAGACTAGGTCCATTGGGCTGGTTGTTGCCAAGGTGGCAAGGATTTATGGGGATACTGTCCCCTGACTCTTCTTCTGGTTTGGTCATTACATGACTCTGAGGAACCCAATCTCCATCATGATTCACTGGTCTCCTGTCTCGCCATCCATCTGCTTGCTCCATGCCCCAGGATACTGGCTCTGTATCTTCTGAACCTGCTGACCTGACGGGGCTATGACTCTGCTCCCCTGGCCTCATGGGTCCATACTCCAACTGGGGTACTGACTCAGCACCACCAACTCTGTCCTTTAATCCCTCATCATCAGCAAGGTTCCCCTTGCTGCCCTCTGTGCCATCGGGGCCTCCCTGACCACTTTTGGTCTCTTCCTCATGCTCTCGCAAGTGCCGCTCCAGAGAACCCCGGCCAGGGAAGCCCCGGCCACAGAGGGCACAGCGGACAGCTGCACACCGGGATCGCCCTGCTCGCCGCCGCCGGCTCTCTGAATGCAGTCTCTGGTGATCCTTCAAGGCCATGAGGTTGGAGTAGGTCTTAGGACAGTTGGGACAGCTGTACTGGCCTGTCTCACGGCTGCACCGGTGGTTCAGGAGGCTGCCAGCATGGCGGTAGTTCCGCCCACACTGCCCACACCGAAAGGGCCAATCTTCCTGAGTCATTTTTCGGGTGCCCCCACCTCCACCCCGCTCAAGGTGGATCCGCTGATGGTTAGCCAGCTGTTTCCGTAGGCGGAACGCCTTCCCACACTCACTGCAGCGAAAACGCCGGGGATCTGCATGGATGCGCCGGTGGTTCTTGAGGGACATGAGATTTGAAAAGCCTTTGGAGCAGGCCTGGCAGCCAAAGTGGCCAGTCTGGTGGCTCTGCCGGTGATTAATGAGGCTGCCAGCATGCTTGTATGATCGTCCACACACCTCACAGCTGAAGGGCCGCTCAGAACTAGCCTCAGTCTGGCAGCCCTTCTCTGCAGTCTCCAACCTCAGCTCCATTTCCTCCCCCTTCACAGTGGTCTCCTCCCATGCCTCTTCTTTCACCCTTGCCACCTCTTCTGGGGGCTCTACTTTAAGTTCCTCTTGGAACTTCTCCACTTCTGCCTGCCCCAGCCCCTCGTCTGTCACATTCTGGGGCTCACTGCTGCCTCCTGTCTCTGGGATAGGCCCCACTTGGGGCTCAGAGCCTTTGCAGCGTGGGTGGTTTCGCAGATGATTGCGGTAGGCAGCCAGATTGGGGTAGCAGCGGGAGCAGACAGGGCAGATGTAGTCTCCGGTCTGGTGGATCTTGCGATGGTTCACTAGGCTGCCCCCGTGGCGATAGGTTTTGCCGCACTGGTTACAGCGGAAGGGGCGAGGTTGAGCCTCCAGAGAACTTTCCCCACCTTGTATGCAGAGGCTGTCTGCAATTGTAGTACCTACTCCCTCTCCAGACTTTGTCTCTCCATCCTCTGCAGAGATCACTGTGCCCTCAAAGATGCCACCTGCACCCATTTCTGTGGCATCACCTGATTCTCCCAAGTGGCTGGAAGCTTTGTCTGTGGTGTTCCCAGAACTCTGACTCTGGTGGTGACGCTCCAGGCTCCCCAGGTCATCATAGGTCTGACCACAGCAGCCACAGATGTGCCCATAACCAGCTCCATCCAGTGCCTCTACCTCTCGCTGCAGCTGATTCAACAGCTCTGTTTCTGAGAGCTGCAGTGGGGTACTATGGGTGGAGGATGCCACTGCTGCTCCTTCCTCCTCCCCCTCCTCCTCTGAGCCCTCAGTCATGCCAGAGGAGTCATGGGCCTGGCGCCAGTGAAGCCTGTAGCCAGCCCGCCCAGGGAAGATCATGCCACAGAGGCAGCAGAGGAAAGGCTGTGCTGGAGCTGCCTCCCCGGGCCTGTGGTTCTGGAAGTGGCTGCGCAGGGCAGGCAGAGAATCAAACTCCTTCGGGCAGAGGGAGCACTGATAGATGTCTGGTGGGTGGCAAGGCCTGTGGCTCAGCAGGCCAGTGGCATGGGGGAAAGAATGCCCACAGTCAGAACATGTGTGGGAGACTTCAGCCTGCCAGCTGGTGACAGGTTCAACAGAGTGGGAAGAAGCACTGGGCTGGCTAGTGGCCGGTTTCTGGTCTTCATCAACCCCAGGGAGGCCATCATGGAAGTGTGTCCCATTGCTTTCCTCATCACCTGGGATTTCCAAGTTGTCAAGGAAACTGGTCTCCTTCCTTTCTAGTCCTTCCTCAGGACCTCTGCTCTCTTTATCACCCTGGAAACAGGCCTCATCCCTCTCAGGCCCACATTTGTCTCTTTCAGCTTGAGCCTGCAAACAGCCCCCATCACTTTCCAAGTTGCCTTTGGCTCCACTAGGACTTTCCCCTGAAGGGTCCTGGGGACAGTCCAGGCCCTCATTGTTTTCTACTAATTCCTGGGCCCAGTTCCCGCCTGATGGGAGTTTGGCTTCTCCTCCACCCCCAGCACTGCCAGCCCGCCTCCAATGACGCCTGCTCCGCCGCCGACTGTGGCGGCGCAAATGGTTCTTCATGGCAGCCATGGTGTGGAAGTGCTTGGCGCAGGCCCCACAGCTGAAGTCCCCTGTCTGGTGGGTCTGTCTGTGGTTGATAAGGCTGCCTGAGTGGCGATAGCTCTTTCCACAGTCTCGGCAGGCAAATGCCCGAGGAGGTGATACCCTGGTCTCTGTCTTTCTGTTTTCCCCTTCCTCATGGGTCTGGCTGTGATGTTCAAGGCTTTTGAGGTCTTCAAAGTGCATCCCGCACATGCTACATATCTGTGGTGCTGTCATATCTGCCGCTGGGGGGACATCAGAGGCCTCCTCTTCATGTTTGCATTCATTCCCCTGATCTGTACATAAGGTTGCCTTTGCTTTCACTGGGTCGGGCTCCACCTTGAGGTGGCTGGGGGGACCTTGGGCCCCTGGGCCTGTGCTGCGTCGAGCAGACTTGCAATGGATCCGCACATGGTTGCGCAGGGCCATAAGATTGGGGTACTTACGGGGACAAAGGGAGCACTGGTACTCTCCTGTCTGATGGCTGTGGCGGTGGTTCACCAGGCTCCCTCGGTGGCGGTAAGCCCGACCACATTCATTGCATTTATAGGGGCGGTGGTCCAGGGTGGTGGTGGGAACCTCTCTCTCTTTGTGGGTGGTCTCAACCAGAGGCAAGGGAGCTGACGGCTCAGATGGCTGCCCGTCCTCTGCAGCTCCTTGCCTGGGTCTGTGATGAGCCCGCACATGGTTTTTGAGAGCAGCTGCATTGTACAACTGCTTGGAACAGATGGAACAGGGATAGACACCTGTCTGGTGGCTCTTGCGATGGTTGATAAGGCTCCCAGCATGGCGGTAAGTACGGCCACAGTCCCCACAGCGGAAAGGTCTGTATTCCTCCAGGCTACTGTCCTCCAGCTCCCCAGAGGTGCTCAGCTCCCCAGAGCCATTCAGCACTGGTGTACTAGGGCGCTGATCCCAGCTGCTCTCATCTGTGTGTCCATTGGTGGTGGGCATCCCTTTCTCTTCCCACAGCTGCTCCTGCCTTTTCCCCTCATGAGATTGCTGGTGTTCGAGCAGCTCTTGGGGGAGCCGAAAGGCACGGGGGCACTGGGGACATTGGTAAGGCCGATATTGGGCATGGAGACGGGAGTGGTTCTTCAGAGCCATGAGGTTAGAAAACTCCTTGAAGCAGATGGCACAAGGGTAGATGCCCAGGGTGTGGCTCTGGCGGTGGTTGGTGAGGCTCCCAGCATGCTTATAAGTCTTGCCACATTGACTACACTTGTACCGCCGTTCCTCCTCAGAAGACGATGACTGGGTGGGCTCCTGGCCCCCGGTAAAATTCACTACTGATTCAGCCAAATATTGTTCCAAATTGCTAAGAAGGCTGCTGGCTGGAGTGGGGAGCAATGGGGCTCTGGCAGAGTTGGTGATGGGCTCCCAGCCCTCTGCACTCTCCTCAGGATTTGACTGGCTTTCCCAGTCTTCTCTTTGTCTTGTGGGTGGATCTTCCCATGTGTCCAGAGCTGTCCTGGAATCAGGCCCAGATACACAGCCAGATGTCTCTTCAGCATGTTTTTTCTGGTTTCCCCAGCTTTCCCCATGGCCAAACCTCTGGTTCCAGGAATCAGTGGACACTGTCTCCCCCTGGAGGTGTGGAGTGGCTTCCTTTGGGTGGCTCTCAGAAGCATGAGTCCTCATGTGGCTCTTGAGGGCCATGGGATTGGTGAAGTCCTTGCCACAGGTGGTACAGGGGAAAAGGCCAGTCTCTTGGGTACAGCGGTGGTTGACCAAGCTCCCTGGGTGACAGCAGCCCTGCCCACACTGCTCACAGTGGTAGGGCTGAGGAATGCTGTCAGCCTCCTGACTGTCCTTGTTGGAGGATGGATGGAGCAGTTCACGGTGCCTTGACAGTTCCAAGATGCTAGAAGAGTGGTGCTGACAGTCACAACAGCTGAATGAGGCGGGAGCATCCTCCATGGGGCAGTGTGGCAGAAACCTGGAGGTTCAGGAAGAGCAGGCAGGTGGTAGAAGCATCTTCCTCTGGTGGCGGAGCCAAGGCCTAGGAAGAGGGGGCAGTAGTCAGAAGTAAAGCCTGAATCAAGTTTACCTCTTGGCTCTATAAGCAACAACTTCACAAGAGGTAACAGAGAGGTTCCCCAAGCAGCAATGCCCAAGAACCTGCTTTCTACTGGATCTAATCTGGAAGCACCATCCTTTAAGGACACCCTGTACACAAGCTCCCCAAACATGGGAGCTTCTCCAGGCCTAACTTATCCTTAGGGGTATAGATAAGGAAGGGAAAGTCTAGAGCGATGAAACCGACTTCTGATCGCAGATCTACTAACCTGGTCTTCATACAAAATCCAAAAAGTCTTACTGCCACTAATTCTCTTCTCTGTATAATCCTGAAACAACCTATTTCCTCTGACATCTTAAAAGGAAACCTGAACCTTTCCTAGGACTCCGAGTAAGATGTTCAATCCTCCCTCCTTCACCCCTCAGCTAAACAGAATAGCCCAGAGGCACTGAAAAAGCAACCTTTTTCCAGCTGACAAATGAGGGCCTGAGAGATTAAGTTAGGGACCCCCTTCAGAGACGGGGCTGGCTTGTTCCCCCACATCCCTTATTCCTTTCATAGTCACAAAGCCTCCTTTCTAAAAGACTCTCTTGGCCACTTCTTTCACTACTTCCCCTGAAGCCAAGCTATCTTCCATCATGGAAATTCCATCCCATTTCTGGTGGTTCTTCACTCCCTCTACCTTTTTCTTTCAGATGCCTCCTCACTTTAGCCTCACTGCTGCCCCATCTCAGTTTTTCTTCTACCTCCTCTCATAATACTGATGATGACAGCAATACATGCTAATTGAGCATTACGATGTGTGGGCACACTGTGCTAAATAAAGACTATTCATTGTTGTCACTTAATCCTCACAACACAGGACAATGCCTGTTGTCCCAGTATATACACCAGCAAACCCACTGATTCAGGCAATCTTCTCTCCAAAGCCTTTGCCCTGACCCGGTGCCTTCTACATCACCTTGGCCTTCTGTCTGATTCTTCACTTCCACTGGACCCCAATACAACTATCCCCAACTAAACCCCTTCACTGAACCTGCTCCCCGAACTCACTTCTCAAAGCCTCTTGGCTCAAGACTGAATTCCCTCTCCTGATGGTTTGATCTCCCGATCAAACGAGTCCTCTCTCCTCACTGATCTTTTCGGCCAATTTCCTCTTAGGACCCCTACCTCGCACGGGTGGCCCTTCTCGTTCCCGCCGCGGGTGCGTCCGTTGGGGACCGCGAACGGGAGCGCGCCTGCGCACTGGGACCCTCACCCTAACTGCAGCCGCGCGCCCCAAGGGCTAGCTGTGCGGGGGCTCTCGCGCTCCCACACTCGCACACTCCGCCAGGGCTCCCAGGAGGTGGAAGGGGAAGGAAGAGGGAAAGAAGAAGGGTGAGAAGGAAGGAGGTAGAGTAGAGGGCGCAGCTGGCACGAGACAGGAGTCTACCCCCCAGCTTCGCGGACACTTCCTATTGTTACTAGGAAACAGGAAGTGTTCTAGCAGCAAAAGCTTCCCCGCGAAACCTCCACCTGGAGAACACTTCCGGACCCGCCTTCAAGCACCAGTTCTACACAGACACACTTCCGGTGCTAAGTAAGAAGTAGCTAAAATGCGGCTCTGACCCCGCCCACGCAGGTCAAAGCGCTGCGTCGTTTCCCTCTAACGCTAGCCACACTTCCGGCAAGAGAAGCTAGACCTGATCTGGTGCATATTGGCTGAGTGTAGAAAAGGGAAACAGGATTCTGCAGCCATAGCCTCAGTACTTTGGTGACACTTTGCATGGGGCTTCCTGAAAACTTCTCAAGACAGATGGAGGGAGCTTTATGCACTTCTCGCTGTAAAGGGAAATGTTACGGAACATAAGGGGATTTAGGCACTACACAGCTAGAACATGGCCTTTCTGTCCTCCCACCTCTATAATCTTGGTGATTTGGCCCCAAGCTAACAAGAGCCCGGTGTACATAGTAAGCCTGTCCGGCGTTTCCTGTCTTTGGCACCCACAGAAACCCTGCAATTTACTTCTCCGCCACCTTCGGTAAACTTCGCTTTCCTCTGTGTCCGTGAAGCTCCTTTCCAGTTCCGCCCGCCAGTCCCGCCTCTCCGCCCTCCCCTTCCCCCCCGCTGGGTCCTAGTGCCTGCCTCTCCCTGGCAGTGTCCGGGACTCCGTTGGTGTGAGGAGCTGTAGCTGACGCCACGGAGCCAGTCCAAGTCCGTTCAGGTAGGAAACGCCGGCAGGAAACCGTGGGGACCCTCGGGCGCCCCAAGCGCGGACAAAATCCAAGCGGACCTCAGTTTCCCTGTGGGTACCGAGGGAGGATGGGGTTGGCCTGGCGCGAGCAGCGCGGGCGGGGCAGGAGGAGTGCGGCCTCCGGAGGGCGCGGGCGCGCTCCGGCCCAGCGGGTCCTAGAACCCGCCGGCTGTCCCCGTGGGCCGGCTGCTGCGGTCGCCTGAGCTCCGCTGGCGCGGCTGCCCGCCTTGAGCGGTGCGGGCCCGGGGGTCCTAGAGCCCGCTATGTTGCGGGCTTTTGTCCCTGGCGCGCTGCACGCCTAGCAAGGGCCCCGGCGCCTGCGGCCCCCTCCCGGGCGGAGGTCCTGCCACCCCTCCCGCGGTCCTAGAGAACGCCATTTTGCAGGTCTTTGTCCAGCCCCGGCCCTCGGTCCATTCATTTGTTCATGCTCTCATTCTTCGTTCACCCCTTGCCACATTCACCGAGGCCACGTTTTCCAGGGCTTATTCCGAGACGAGTCAGCTCAGGGCGCTGGCCTGCGGGGCTGTCTGGCGGGGGTGCAGACACAGACGGTTGCAGGGAGCGAGAAGCGCAGCGTTTCTGCAGCTCTCGGCCCCTCCTCAGCGCGTCTGGTAGGCCCTAAACGCTCTTTAAACTCCGACATACCTCAGAGACCCCATTTTACTGATGAGAAAACTGGGGCCTAGAGCGCCGTGGCACCCTTACTTCTACTGCCTATTGCTGAGGGCTCTGGGAAAACCGATATTTGAAGGATGCAGAAGAGTTTCCCCATGGGGGAAGGCAAACAACCGAGGCAGAGGGCAGTGTATGTGGAGCTGCATTTAGGTGGGGAAGTTTGAGAATTGTGTCGCGGAAGGGGGAAACTGTCGCTGGAGCTGAGGCTGGAAAAGTAGGTTGGAATTAGGTTGTGAACTGACTAGATTGCAGACCTAGGAGATAATTAGCTCTCACCTCTACACGCAGGTTTCACACTTCCCCCTCCGCCATCTCACCAAGCTCACCAAGTCTATGAGGCCTGTGGGTGACTACTTGTTTAGACGTGGGAGACTGAGGTGCAGAGACGATAACAAAGTGGCTCCTTTTTCACCTCATCCCAGCCCCCAGGGTCCTAGTCTAAACTCGCTGGAAATTAAATCTCTGCATCCCTGCCATTTAGAGCCTGTTTGGGCAGCAGGACTTCATCTCTCTCCTAAGCCAGTAGTGAAGCAAAGACAAGCCTCCCTCACTAGAGCAATGAAGCGGGTGAGGGAAATAGGAGTGATATTTGGACCATGGGAACTTGGACAGGCAGAGAAATTCAGTTAATAAATAATTGTTGATGGATATTCTTACAAATGCCTACTGTGAGGAAGGCAGAGACTATAGGCCTGGGTTTCAGTTGCATCTCAGAGGTTGATTCTTTCAGTTTGTTGTGGGGCACCAGTCAGTTCTAGGTGTAATGGATACAGAATAATAAAGGTTCCTGGCTCTTCGCTAGCTTAGACTCTTGTGCTGGAGACAGAGAATTAACAACCAAGCCATAAAATGTGTAAGGCCTGTGGGTGGCTACTTGTTAAGACATGGGAAAGTGAGGTGCAGAGATGATAAAAAGTGGCTCCTCTTTCACCTCATACCAGCTCGCAGGGTCATAGCTTAAACTCTTTGGGAATTAAATCTCAAAGTAATACTTAGGAGACAGTGAGCAGACATTTGGGAGGCAGACCACCTGGCTTTGAATACTGTCTATGACTGTGACTACTTCATTTCTGTGTGCTTCAGTATCCTTGTCTGTAAAATGGGGGAAATAATACTGTTTAACTTAGTCTGTTTAGGCTGCCATAACAACAACAACAACAAAACATAGACTGGTGGGGCTTAAACAACAGAAATTTATTTCTCACACTCCTGGAGGCTGGGAAGTTCAAGATCAAGATGCTAGCCAGTTCCTGGTGAGGACTCTTTTCCTGGCTTGTAGACAGCCGCCTTCTTGCTATATCCTCACATGGCCTTTACTCTGTGCATGCACACGCTCAGTCTGTAACAAACTTCTAGGCAGTTGTGAGGCTTAGCTTGAATAGTACACATAAAATTCTTTTTTTTTTTTTTTGAAAAATTTTTTTTTTTTTATCCTCACCCGAGGACATTTTTCCATTTTTTGTTCAGGTAAAGTGGGAGGGAGAGAGAGGAACAGAGAGAGAGAGAGAGAAACATCGATGTGAAAGGAACACATCGAGTGGCTGCCACCCGCACAACTGACCAGGGCCGGGGACAAACTGCAACTGATGTATGCGCCCTTAGCGGGAACCGAACCCCGGGTCTCTCAGGATCGCAGGCCGACGCTCTAACCGCTGAGCCAAACTGGCCAGGGCACACATAAAATTCTTAAAATGACACCTGGTTTATGCTAAGCTTGCAAGAAGGAATGTTATCCATATGAACACCATAAAGGAAATTAAAGAGTGGGGAGGATAGAGAATGATTAGCGAGAGTGCCAATAGTATTAAGAAAGGTGGTCTGAAAAGCCTTCTTTGAGAAAGTGACAGGGGCTCAAGACCCAAATAAAATCAAAGAGATAGCTGCACAAAGATCCTTGGGGAATAGTGGTTCTGGCAGAGAGAACTGTGTGCAAAGGCCCTGAAGTGAGAAGGAATTTAGCTATTTTGTTGTTGTTAATCCTCACCCAAGAATATTTTTCCATTGATTTTTAGATAGAGTGGAAGAGCTGGGCAGGTGTGGCTCGGTAGATTGAGCATCATCCCATGGACTGAGAGGTCCCAGTTCAATTCCCTGTTAGGGCACATGCCCAGGTTGTGGGCTTGATCCCCAGTAGGGGGTGTGCAGGAGGCAGCTGATTGATGTTTCTCTCTCATATCCATGTCTCTACCTCTTTTCCTTCCTCTCTTTCTAAAATATCACTAACAACATATTAAAAAAGAAAAAGAGAGTGAAAGAGAGAGAGAAAGGAGAGAGAGAAACACCGATGTGAGAGAGACACATCATTTGGTTGCCTCCCGCATGGCTTCTGCAACCCAGGTACATGCCCGTGTCCAGGAATTGAACCCGTTACCCTTTGGTCTGCCAGATGATGCTCTAACCACTGAGCAAAACAGGCCAGGATGGAATTTAGCTCTTTGAGGAAAAGAAAGGGAGCCTGGCCCAGCCGGTGTGGCTCAGTGGTTGAGCATCAACCCATGCACCAAGTGGTCACCGGTTCCATTCCTGATCAGGGCACATGCCCAGGTTATGGTCCAAATCCCCAGTAGGGGGCATGCAGGAGGCAGCCAATCGATGTTCTCGCTCATCAGTGTTTCTATCTCTCCCTCTCTTTCTAAAATCAGTAAAGAAAAAAAAAATCTTTTAAAAAGAAAGGAAGCCTGTGTGCATGGAGCCTAGTGAACTAGGAAAGAGGAGGGGGGTTGAGGTAGTCAGGAGTTAGATGGTTCAGGGCCTTGCTGTCCATGAAAAAGATATTGGTCTTAGTCCTAGGAGCAGTGAAAAGTCTCATGATTTGGCTAATAAGCCTTAAGTAGATGAAGACTGCTAGCAAAAGAGCCCACCCAGCCCAGAGACCTGAATACTTGGTTTTGAGTCATGGCTCCTTGACTAGCTGTGTGTTCTTGTGCAAGTTTTTTCCCTTAAGGGGCTTAATCTGCACATCTGAAAACAAGGTGTAGTAAAAATGCCTCTCCTAGAAGCTTGTGAAGACCTAAGGCTGTGTCTTTGGTTCTTAAGTATTGAGTGTTGGTTGGAATGAGCCAGAGAGTATGTTCACAGTAAAGATTTCTGGGTCCTGCCCCATACTCCCTGGGTGATTATTCTCATATAGGGAGTTCACAAACCTGAGAAACACCACTGTAGGGAGAGGTGGGTGAAGAGTCCTCTCTGAACTGTAAAGCAAGGAGATAATGGTGGGATTTAGATAAGAGCCTAGCCTACCTGACCCTCTACTCTTAGTGGAGCTGGGTGCCTGCTGGGACCAACCTGATGCTCCCCAACTTTTCTCCTGGGAAGTGCCTTAGGAGAGGTTTACCCACCCAGCTATCTGGTTTCTGGTTCACAGATAGGAAGACTGGGGCCCCGAGCTCAAAACCCATGGGTCCAGCCCTCTGAGAGGGAAACAGATGTAAAGTGTACTGGCTCTGGTCTCAAGGCAGTTCTGCACGGATGAGAGAAGGTTAAGGTGCAGCCTGAGCTCAGACTTTGGTCACTGTGGGGCTGGCCATTGTGGCAGAAAAGTCTGGGAGGACCCAGATAACTGAGCAAGGGCCCAACAACTCAAGGCGAGTTAAATACCTGGATTCAACTGCAAATTATTAGCTGTATGATCATGGGCTAGTTATTAAACACAGTGCTATATTATTTCTCTGGGCCTCACTTCCATTATCTGTGAAAAGGGAATAACAGTAATACTTTTCTTGTGGTGTCAACAGGAAGTTTAAGTGACTTAATACAGTCGTCCCTCGCCACTTCGCACTTTGCCTTTCGCGGCTTCACTCTATCACGGGTTTTTCAAATATAGTCTAGAAAAAACCGTGATAAAGTGAAGAAGCCCCAAAAGTTGAAGCGCGAAGTGGCAAGGGAGGACTATATAGTAAAGAACCCTACTTCACGGAAATTCATTTATCGCAGTAGAGTCTGGAACTGATTAACCGCGATAAACAGGGCTGACTGTACATGTAAAGAGCTTAGGATACTGCCTGTTATTTAGCAAGTGCTCTGTAAATGTGAACTATCATTTTTTATTAAAGAGAAACTTTATCAGTCAGACTATCCAGAGATGGTCTGGAAGGAAGTAGTGAGTGCCTCATCCGGAGATAGGGAGGGATCCCATGGAAACTAGGGGGAATTCAAGCCATGGTGAAGGTTGGTCCTCAACCTTTTTAATTCATTTTCTAGCCCCAGGATTTAGTGGAAAAAGTGAAAAGAAAAAAAAAACAAGCCGAGGGTGGAACAGAGTTGTGTAGGATTGGGGCCAAAAACCAAAGGGGAGCCCTGGCCGGTTTGGCTCAGCGGTTAGAGCATCCGCCTGCGGACCAGAGAGCCCCGGGTTTGGTTCCCACTAAGGGCACGTACCTCGGTTGCAGTTTGTCTTTGGCCCCGGTGGGGGTCGTGTGGCAACCAGTTGATGTGTCTCTCACAGCGATGTTTCTCTCTTGCTTCCCCCCTCTCTCCCTCCCACTCTATCTGAAGATAAATGCAAAGATGTCCTCGAGTGAGGATAAAAAAAACAAACCCAGCCCTGGCCAGTTTGGCTCAGCAGCTGAGCGTCGGCCTGCGGACCATAGAGTCCTGGGTTCGGTTTTTGCTAGGGGCGTGTAACACACACACACACACACACATGCACACACACACACCAAAGGGGAGATGCAGGAAGAGCTTCCTGGGGGAAGTAGGGCTCAAAGGAAGGATTGGTGGGCTTTGTAACAGCCAGAAAGGACCTGGGAATTTGCATGGTGTGATGGAAGCCATGGAAAGATCTTGAGTGTCACATAGTACTTCAGGGAGAAGACACCTGGCTGCTTGTGCACTAGATTGCGTGTATGTGTTTTTGGGGGTGGGGGGGCCTGAGGCAGGTTGACCAGGATGAAGGGTACTGACTCTAAAGATGCAGCCCTTGCCACTCACTCCAGGGACTCCAATGTCCTCCCTGGGTCATAACTTAGAAGCCACCAACCCCTGAGGTATACAGATGGAGAAACAGGCTTAAAATGGAGCATGAGAACTCAGGCCTCCTACCTCCCAACCTAGCTTCTGGGCACACCAGGCTCTCCTCCCTTCCCTATCACAGATCCTCACCCCCACCTAGGCCACCCCCAGCAGCTGCTGCTGAGCACTCCTTAAGTGGATCTGCCCATAATCCTCTTCCCTTCATCCTCCCAGGAGGATGAGCTGGTGTTAGGGCTAATGCAGCTGTTAATCCTATTTCCTTCCAGCCATGATCCACAGGAACAGCTGTGTGGAGGGTGTCTGGCTCTGAACTGAGAAGAAAGGGGCCTCAGCTACAGTGGGTGTCTCAGGAGGCCAGTCTAGATCAGATACATTGATTAGGAAGGACTCAGAGGCTTCCAACTACTAGCAATAACTCAAGCTGCCTTGAGAGTGATTGAGCTTCCCATTACCAGAGCTATGGGAACAGGAACCCACAGTGATTCCAGAGCAGAGGGTGGACCAGGATTCCTGTCTGGGGTGGAGTCCCTTACAGCTGTGCAAGGCCAGAATTCTGTGTGAACAGTTGCTGCCTCTGAAAGCTAACCAACCAAAGGGGAATAACAAAATGCATATGCTGGGGACCTATCACTTCCAGACAGACGGTGCCAATCACCACATTTAGCCCACTGTTTCTGCCTTCTTCTGGGCCTGCCTCTGTCTTCCCTGGGCACTTGGAGACCTTCAGGCCAGATCCACATCTTGCTAGCATCTATGTCTGCCTCCTTGCATAGGAGCCTGCATCCTGGCATAGGTGTCGGACACTGAGCTGAAGAAGGAAGATGGTGAGATAGATGTAACCAGGGCCTTCTGGAATTGCCACAGGATCTGGAAAAGCTCAGGCTGGGGAGTGAAGTGCAGAGAGACACTTTGATGACCCCAGCCTCCTCCCTTAGCCTCTCTGAAGTCACCCAGACCAACTCCTTTCATCAGTGAACAAACCAAAGAAGAAACTTGAGCAGACTGTCAGAGCCAGGAACGTTTGAAAGGAAGGATGCGGCAGTCCGGGGTGGGAAATGCAGATAAGTTAGGGTTCCCACTGAGGCCTCATGAGGGCTTTGGTGAGGGGAGAGGCCTTGGAAAATGGCAAAGGGGTGTGTTTTCTGTCTAACTTTGCTTCTGTCGCAGAGCTTTGCCCATCGAGGCCATGGAGGTGGAATCTGTGGAGGCCCGGTCCCCAGGCCCCGGCTACAAGCGCTCTGGCCGCCGCTACAAGTGCCTGTCCTGTACCAAGACATTTCCAAATGCACCCAGGGCAGCGCGCCACGCTGCCACACATGGGCCTGGAGACTGCGCAGAGGAAGTGGCAGAGGTGAAACTGAAGCCAGAGACAGAATCTAAAGCAGAGGATGCCAGCGGGGACAAAGTATCAGGTGCAGTGACTAAGCCTCGGCCTTATGCATGCCCATTGTGCCCCAAGGCCTACAAAACAGCACCCGAGCTGCGCAGTCACGGGCGCAGCCACACGGGGGAAAAGCCCTTCCCCTGTCCGGAGTGCGGCCGCCGCTTCATGCAGCCTGTGTGCCTGCGCGTGCACCTGGCCTCGCATGCTGGCGAGCTGCCCTTCCGCTGCACGCACTGCCCCAAAGCCTATGGCGCGCTCTCCAAGCTCAAGATCCACCAACGCGGTCACACGGGCGAGCGGCCCTACACCTGCGCCGACTGTGGCAAGAGCTTTGCGGATCCTTCTGTGTTCCGCAAGCACCGGCGCACACATGCTGGCCTGCGGCCATATGGCTGTGAGCGCTGCGGCAAGGCCTATGCCGAGCTCAAGGACCTGCGCAACCACGAACGGTGAGAGCGCTTGAAGGGATTGGGAAGAGCAGGTCAGTGGGGTAGAGGTGGGACAGCAGTGGCTGCTCTGTGACCAATGTGGCTTGGGCTTGGGTCTTAAGAAGCAGAATGAGCCAACGGGAAGGTGAGTGGATGGAGCTGTGGGTAGTGTGGCGTACATGGGGGAAGCTGGTACTGGGGGTTGGACTTTGGATAGGCGTGATAGCATGAGGCAGACTTATTTGGGATGGAGCCCTGGAGGATGTAAGTGGGGTCTGATTGGCCTGGGTTCCTAGGCAACAGGAAAGGGACAGGTCTTGAAGTTGGGCCAGTCAGAGGGTCTCTGGTGGAGCACAGGAGGTGTGAGTGGGACTTGATATGCCTAGGTCTTTGGGGTGCAGAGAGGGGTCTTTTCTGGAATCTAGACACCTAGCCTGAAGGCTTCTTACTCTGGGGTGCAGCTCTGGCTCTTAGGGGATTGGGCCAAAGCCCCAGGATGTTAGGTTCTCCTAACTTATGGTGCAGACAGGAAGCAGGGGTCAGGTGATGGGCCTGCCACCTTCATGCCGGGTTCCCCACACTCCCACAGGTCCCACACCGGTGAGCGCCCCTTCCTCTGCTCAGAATGCGGGAAAAGCTTCTCCCGTTCATCTTCGCTCACGTGCCACCAGCGCATCCATGCAGCACAGAAGCCCTATCGCTGCCCGGCCTGTGGCAAGGGCTTCACACAGCTCAGCTCCTACCAGAGTCATGAGCGCACTCACTCTGGCGAGAAGCCCTTTCTGTGCCCCCGCTGTGGCCGCATGTTCTCTGACCCCTCAAGCTTCCGGCGCCATCAACGGGCCCACGAGGGCGTGAAGCCTTACCGCTGCGAGAAGTGTGGCAAAGACTTCCGGCAGCCGGCGGACCTGGCCATGCACCGGCGGGTGCACACGGGTGACCGGCCGTTCAAGTGCCTGCAGTGTGACAAGACGTTCGTGGCTTCCTGGGACCTCAAGCGGCACGCGCTGGTGCACTCAGGCCAGCGGCCCTTCCGCTGTGAAGAGTGCGGCCGAGCCTTCGCCGAGAGAGCCAGTCTCACTAAGCACAGCCGGGTGCACTCGGGGGAGCGCCCCTTCCACTGTAATGCTTGTGGAAAGTCCTTTGTGGTATCGTCAAGCCTGAGGAAACACGAGCGGACCCATCGAAGTAGTGAGGCCACAGGGGCAGCCCCACAACAGGAGCTGGTAGTGGGCCTAGCACTGCCAGTCAGTGTGGCAGGCGAGGGCTCAATGGCCCCAGCAGCAGGTACAGGGCTAGGGGACCCTCCAGCAGGGCTGCTAGGGCTGCCCCCGGAATCAGGTGGTGTGATGGCCACACAGTGGCAAGTGGTGGGCATGACGGTAGAGCATGTGGAGTGCCAAGATGCTGGGGTTGGGGAGGCTCCTGGTCCCTTGGGGGGGACAGGCGAGGTGGGGAGTGAAGAGGTGGAAGAGAAGCCACCGCAGTTTGTGTGCCGGGAATGCAAGGAGACATTTTCCACGCTGACGTTGCTGCGACGGCATGAGCGCTCACACCCAGAGCTCCGGCCCTTTCCCTGTACCCAGTGTGGCAAGAGCTTTTCAGACCGGGCTGGGCTACGCAAACACAGCCGCACACACAGCTCTGTGCGCCCCTATACCTGCTCCCACTGCCCCAAGGCCTTCTTGAGTGCCAGCGACCTACGCAAGCACGAACGCACTCACCCTGTGCCCATCGGGACCCCCACACCCCTTGAGCCCCTTGTGGCTTTGCTAGGAATGCCTGAAGAAGGGCCAGCCTGAGGCCCATGCCCCTTCCTCTGAAATCCCAGGAGCTCAGCCCCCATCAGGCGCTTCCTGGACCTCCCTTTGCCCCAGCTTACTCTTTAGACTCCGGATCCCTGCCCCCCAGGTAGCCAGCTTACCTTCCCAACAAAGAAGCCTGGGGACAGTGGAGGCTGGTACCCACTGTTGAGAGACATGGCTCTGTGAGTAACTCATTAAAGCATTCACTTTGACACTGGATTGTCTTCTTTGTTCTGGTTGGGGGTATGGGAGGGAGTTTGGGCATCAGATAAGGTTCATTGCTGACCCCTAGATTGACAGATTAGAAACTAAAAGGCTCTTTGGGTGCATTTTTTCCAAATGTTTCAATGTCTTATGACAAAGGGTTTCATGATCAAGTAAGTATAGGAAATTCCCTGTGTTTTTCTTGAGTATTCTCTTTTTTTCTTTTTTAATTGATTTTTTAAGAGAGAGAAACATGGATGTGAGAGAGAAACATCGATCGGCTACCTCCTGCACGTCCCCTACTGGGGATTGAGCCCGCAACCTGGGCATCTGCCCTGACCGGGAATCGAACTGAGACCTCTCAGTCCATGAGAGGTTGCTCAGTCCATTGAGCAACACTGGGCATTTCTTGAGGATTCTTGATCAAAAGTGTGTTGAAGTTATTCATAAGTCCCACAACAAACAGATCTATTTAGCTTTGCTTATCTCATACTTATTTAACCATGGAAACCTTTTACAGAGTAGTTCTACTTCTATCCTTTATACAGAGAATAAACTGAGGCCCGAAATAATTATATTTTCTATATAATAACTTGCAGTAACAAGTTAGAAAATATACTTGAAAAAAGAGGTCCCATTCACAATAACGATACCTATAAACAACAAAGTGATAAACCTCACAAGAAACATGCGAAACCTCTATGAAGAAAATGATCTCGGCCCTGGCCGGTTTGGCTCAGCGGTAGAGCGTCGGCCTGCGGTCCGGAGAGACCCGGGTTCGGTTCCCGCTAAGGGCACGTACCTCGGTTGCAGTTTGTCCCTGGCCCTGGTCGGTTGTGCGGGTGGCAGCCACTCGATGTGTCCCTTCACGTCGATGTTTCTCTCTCTCTCCCTTCCTCTCTCTCTCCCTTCCACTCTATCTGTACAAAAAAATGGAAAATATCCTCGGGTGAGGATAAAAAAAAAAAAAAAAAAAAAAAAAAAAGAAAGAAAATGATCTCGCCCTGGCCAGTTTGACTCAGCAGTTGAGCGTAGGCCTGTGGACTAGAGAGTCCCAGGTTTGGTTCCTGCTAGGGGCACATACCAAAAAAAAAATGTCCTCAGGTGAGGATTAAAGAAAATTCCTCTATCCGAAAGGATATAAGACCCAACTAAATGGAGACATACCATGTATCTAAATGAAAAGACATTATTAAAAGATGTTGCCCTAGCCAGTTTGGCTCAGTGGTTGGAGCATTGGCCTGTGGACTAGAGAGTCCCGGGTTCAGTTCCTGCTAGGGGCATGTACCAAAAAAAAAAAAAAAAAAAGTTGATTTTAGCCCTGGCTGGTTTGGCTCAGCAGTTAGTGTCCGCCTGCAGTCCAGAGAGACTCGGGTTCGGTTCCCGCTAAAGGCATGTACCTCGGTTGCAGTTTGTCCCCAGCCCTGGTTGGGTTGTGCGGATGGCAGCCACTCGATGTGTCCCTTTCACATTGATGTTTCTCTCTCCCCCTCTCTTCTCTCTCCCTCCCACTCTATCTGAACAAAAAATGGAAAAATGTCCTCAGGTGAGGATAAAAAAAAAAAAATGTTGATTTTCCCCAGCTTAATGCTTAACTTCATTGCCATCCAAAAAGGATTTTTTAACAGAACTTGAAAATCCAAAGTTTCTATGAAATGCTGTACACTTCGTTAAAAAACGAGGTGAGCCCTGGCTGGTTTGGCTCAGCAGTTGGAGCATCAGCCTGCGGACCAGAGAGTCCCGGGTTTGGTTCCTGTTAGGTACACATACAAAAAAAAATGGAGGTGATGTATTTACATACTAGATAACCAAACACAAAAGCACTGGAGTAAAAACAGGATACTATTGGCACAAGAATAAATCAGTAGAGTTGGGGAGAGGGTTCAGAAACAGCCCCAACTATTTCTGGGAATTTAGTTTGTGATAAACATGATTATTTAAATCAGTGGGGAAAGGATGGTCTATTTTTTTTTTTCACCCGAGGACATTTTTCCATTTTTTGTTCAGATAGAGCGGGAGGGAGAGAGAGGAAGACACAGAGAGAGAGAGAAACATCAATATGAAAGGGACACATCGAGTGGCTGCCCCCTGCACGACCCAACCAGGGCCGGGGACAAACCACAACTGAGGCACGTGCCCTTAGTGGGACCGAACCCAGGTCTCCCTGGCTTGTAGGCCAACTCTCTAACCGCTGAGCCAAACCGGCCAGGGCAAGGATGTTCTATTAAGTCGTTTTACAGTTATATCTGTATTCTGAAAGGTTACACATTTAGAAAGTAATTTTTCAAGGACCAAAATGGAAAAATAAAAATGAGGCTCCAGAGTAATTAGAGTAAATTGGTACAGCCTGTTGGGAAGATGATTTGATTATATTTATCAAACAGTTAAATGGATGTACCCTCAAAGAATTTATACTTCAAATTTCTTTTCCATTTAAGTAGCAAAATTGAAGGTAATGTTTAATACAGCAAAATTTGTGATACTGGGAACACTTTAAATGTCCATTAGCAAAGACTAAGGCTAGCCAATGTAAACTACATTATGCAGCTGTTTAAAAAAGGTGGCTTATCAATCTATATTGTTGAATATGTCCAAAAAAGTATGTCAAGTGAAAAAAAAGTGCAAAACAGTGTGGTTAGTATGTTCCCAGTTGGGCCAAATTATACATAATTACACATTAGTGCTCAAATTTCTATAGGATGTTTCTAGAATACTTAAGAACTGATTCTGGACTAGAAATTTCAGCCACTAAGGCTTTCCCCATTTATAAGCCAAAACAAAGCCAAAGGTCAGAATGGATCAGGTACATGCCCTCTTTTCCATGTTTTTATCAGTTTTGTACTTGGGGGCCACCAAGTTGGCAGCTTCAGGAAATAAGTGTGCAGCCTGTCTCCAGGCCCACGTGCCCGTCATGAGGGACTTTGCAGGAGCCATCCCTAGCCTAGGACTGGTATACCAGGAGCAGAAGTAGTAGGTATTCTCCTGATGTCAGGGGCCTGGCTTTGGAAGAGCCCCTCATTCCCATTCTCCACGGCATAGCAAGGGCATGTGGCAACAGCAAGGGCCGGGGTGTTACGGCTGCAGGAAGAAAGTACTAGTTTGGCCAAGGACATTCACTGCCCATCCCCATACCCAGAGCAGGACAAGCTGTTCAGGCTGGAACCAAAGTCTGAAAGAAAGACAAACGGGGGGTTGGAACAGGGGGACTTCGGTTACTACTAACTTGATTTGTGACTTGAACAAGATGATTTATTTTGGGAGTTGGGGAAGCACCTTTTAGAAATTGGTACAAAGATGCCATGTATACTCATCAACAGATACACTTGGGTATTTATCTACAATGAAGGAAAAAGTGGGTCCTGTGGATGTTCAGAAGGATCCACAATTGCTCCCTTTCTAGGCCCAGACAACCCACTCATCCCTCAGTCTCTCTTCTCTGACACCAGGGATCCCATAATCAGTTCCTGCTCCCTGAGGACTCAAATAGACTTTTTAAAAGCAATTAACAGCTATATTCAGTTGTAATTAATATGCCATACAATTAACCCATCGGAAGTGCACAATTTGATGGTTTTTAGTACATCCACAGGGTTATGCAACCATCACAATCTAATTTTAGAGTATTTTCATCTCCCTAAAAGAAACTCCATACCCATTAGCTGTCTCTGCCTTTTTGTTGTGGTTGTTAATCCTTACCCAAGGATATTTTTTCCATTGATTCTTAGAGAACGAGAGAGATAGAAACATCAATGTGAGAGGAACACATCAATTGGTTGCCTCTTGCACATGCTCTAACCTGGGCAGGGGCACGAACCTGCAAACCAGGTACATGCCCTTGACCAGTTACCTGCGACCCATCAGTGCGAGGGCCAAAGCTCTAACCACTGAGAACACTGGCCAGAGCTGTCACTGACTATTGATCTTCCTTCCACCCAACTCCTTTTCCTCAGCCCTAGTCAACCACTAATCTTTTTAAAACATTTTTTTTCTTTTACTGATTTTAGAGATAGAGGAAGGGAGAAGTAGAGAGAGATGAAAACATTGATGAGAGAATACATTGATTGGCTGCCTCCTGCATGCTCCCCACTAGAGATTGGGCCCACAACCTGTGTCCTGACCGGGCGACCTCTTGGTTCATGGGTCGATGCTCAACCACTGAGCCACACTGGCTGGGCTCAAGCACTAATCTTGTATCTGTTTCTATGCATTCATCTATTATGGACATTTCATGTAGGGGTCATGCGATATGTGGTCTTTTGTTACTGGCTTCTTTATATTCTTTGCATAATGTTCTTAAAGTTCATTCATTTTGTATGTCATTCCTTTTTATTGTCAAATAATATTCCATTTTATGGAAATAGCACTTTTGTTTATCCATTCATCAGAGATGGACATTTGGTTTTTCATTTTTGTCTACTGTGAATAATACTGCTGTGAACATTCATGTACAAGTTTTTGTGTGGATATATTTTTCAATTCTCTGTATATATCTAGGAATGGAATTGCTGGGTCATATGGTAACTGTTGTTTAACCATTTGCGGTACTGTCAGACTTTTCTTTTTTATTAAAAACAATGTTTGTATTGATTTTTTTTTAGAGAGAGAAGAAGGGAGAGAGAGATAGAAACATCAATGTGAGAGAGATACATCAATTGGCTACCTCCTGCATGTCCCCAACCGAGGATCGAGCCCTTGTCCTGACCAGGAATCAAACCGGGACCTCTCAGTCCATGGGGCAATGCTCAATCCACTAAGCCACACCAGCTGGGCTGTCAGACTGTTTTCTAAAGTGGCTGCACCATTTTACATTCCCACCAACAGGGTATGAATGTTCAAATTTCTCCACATCTTCATCAACAGTGTTATTATCTGACTTTTTTACTATAGCCATCCTAGTGGGTGTGATTTTGTGATTTTGATTTGCAATTCCTAATGGCAAATGATGTTGAACATCTTTTTATGTGCTAATTGGCTATTAGATATTACCATCTTTGGATAAGTGTCTAT